ATGTAGTACAGTATAAAGTACAATATGTACCTCTGAGATGTAGTACACTAAAAGGTTCTGTGCTTCCCAACAACTCTCAAGTCTGTAATCTGACTTCATGAAATTGATGTCTCATCAGATAAATTCAATCAAAGCCATGTTATTGAATTATTGTAAAAAAAAGAAATAAAATAAAAACACGCCTCAATTCTATTGGAAAGGTTTCTCAATGCCGACGAAAACTTGAAGAAAAAGATGTCCTCTTGACTTTTTATTGATTCATTAAATCTTTGTGAACATTAAACCCTCTGAAAGCGCTCTGTACAGTTCAGCCTTTATCGGAGCATGAAACACAAAACCAGGTATTCGTTGTAAATACTGAAGAAAATACTGTCACTGCAGCGAGAGAGAAGAACATTAAGGGCACAAAAGTCCAACAGGTTTAAATTAAAGTTGTTCCTATAATGCTGGATTGGGTAGCGGCGAGTATGTGTGTCTAAGCACCGATCTAACGTCAAGTTATCATTTATCAGATCATTTACAGGAACAACAAATGACTTGTTACCCAATCCGTACATCCTGCCTGATCGCTACTGAGCGTGTGCAAACTAGTACTTCACACTTGTGGTTAAACACTCTCTTGCACTCTTGTTTTCCCTGATGATGCTACATTGTGAACAACAAATGCGTGTTCAAATCAACAGGAGAGCTAGCTAACATTAGCCGTTAGCAGCTGGTGGGCTGCACAGTATATAAGAGGTGGATAAAGTCGTGACGTCACCCATTGGTTGGTGGACTGTGGTTTCGAAGCCTCAGGTTCGTCATTTTGGCCGTCGCCATATTGGTTTCTCAGTGGTCTCTCAGGACACTTTAGTAATCCAAACTCAAAAATGATGGCAAAGCAGCTCACTTGTTACTGTAGCTGAGACAGGTTTAAGGGAAAACACACTCAAATGCAACCATATGTGGTTTAAATGCTTCTTAATGCGGGTTTATATCGGTCAACATGCCTGACTCTAAATGGACCATAATGTACTAAATGAACATCATGCTGTATTGAAGAAGACTTGAAACTAGAGATTGAGACCATAAACTCATGTTTACAATGTTTACTGAGGTAATAAATCAAGAGAGAAGTAGAGTCATTTTCTCATAGACTTCTATACAACCAGAGGAGTCGCCCCCTGGTGGACACTAGAGAGAATTCAGGTTTAAGACACTTCATTTATGTTTTTAACACACTGCCATCGGAATTGTTCTCGGTATCGGCTGATACTTTTGAGCTACCAAACACCAGGAAAGCCCTCAGTCACTATACGGATGTTTAAAATGTGACTCAAAGCCTCATTGACCAGCGTGCTCCCCTGTGGTCGATACTTATGTAGAGTTGCTGACAGTAGAAAGAGACCAGTCGATCTCATCAGTGGTCTCTCAGGACTCTTTAGTAATCTAAACTCAAAAATTAAAGCAAAGCAGCTCACTTGTTACTGTAGCTGAGACAGGTTTAAGGGAAAACACACACTCATATGCAACAATATGTGGTTTAAATGCTTCTTAATGCGGGTTTAAATGGGTCAACATGCCTCAGCAACGTAAGAACTACAACAGACTCAACAGATTTAATGAATTAATCAAATGGTTGATCAAAGAAATATCACACTACCTTTAGATCTTCAAACACATTTCATTTTGCTGCTGTACTGACTGATGAGTCGCCAACTTAATTTCGTTGTATGTTTTTACTAACATACTTATCCTTAAATCACAAGCACTGTCAAAGTTAAGCATTTTCTCCAGTCAGCACTGTTACCGAGCATTTATAACAACCATGATGACCGTTAGCAAAGAAGAGAAAACTAATGCCTTGTTTGTAGATAATAGAGGTGTAACGGACCCCCTCACGGTTTAACGTTAACCATCAGGGTGTAAATAAAGTTTTACTGACGATCGTTCTCCTCCAATATTCAGTAGAACATGTGTTTCTAGTCTCTGATCTCTGATCATGTTTCATTGTAAACAACCAATCAGTGTTTAAACCAACAGGAGGAGAGCTAGTAACGTTAGCAGCACCGCTAACGTCTCTCTCTCTCTCTCTCTCTGTCTCTCTATGTCTCTCTCTCTCTGTCTCTCTCTCTCTCAATGCACCAATTTGTGAACTCTCCCTAATCCGTCCATCTCACCCTTCATCTGGCCGTGACCAATGGTCACCTATGGGCAGAGGGGAGCTGAGGGGGGGTATTGATGGTCATGGAGCCCGGTCAATACATTGATCACTTTAGTCCCTTCCATCTTTAAGACACACTACTTTAGTCGATTAAGGGGTTTTGGCATTTCATTGCAGAGGGTTTTAAAATATTAGCTCTTATTAAACTTGCAAAGCAGGCTCAATGAACAGAGCAGGAATCTCTACGGGTCACAAAAGCTACAAAGGGAGGACTTTATCAGAATAATAATGCATGCTCCTGCTGCTTCTCTAATGCGCCAAGTGACTTAAAGGATGAGTGTGGTCCTCTATATTTCTTATGTCAATAAGTCCTCCTGGCATTAAATATAATGTAGCACCATACATCACGTTAGTGGCCTCCTAAAGGGTCCGTTCCACTGTTTGGGAGTGTGGTTGTGTATTATTACCTACAGTAGAAACAGAGAGTACTGCACGGGAGCAAAGCAAACACTGCTGTATTTTGGACACATCAGTTTAAATCAACGCTCTCATAATATCTTTTGACAGTTGAACTGAACTGAAAGTGAAACTTATCTAGTTAGTGTTTGTAAAACAGAGTGTGGTGGCTTTCAAGCGTGGATGTATAAAGAGAACTGGATATAGTGTTGAAGGCGGCTCTCTGTTCATTCCTCTGAAAGTTGCTCAAAGGTGCAGGAGGCCAATTTGAATTCCGTGTATGAAATTACCCAAATCTTACCGTAAAGCATGCACGCTAGAGTTTTGTTATGCCCCGCATTTACTAAATGTATCTGTAAGATGATTAATTCCTCTTTTTCTGTAACAATAACTGAATACAGTTTATTATTTATTGTATCCTAATTGCACCGTTTCATGTAATCCGTCATCGCTCAAGTCTGAGTTGAAGGACA